ACCCTAAACCCTAAACCCTAAACCCTAAACCCTAAACCCTAAACCCTAAACCCCCACCTAAACCCTAAACCCTAAACCCTAAACCCTAAACCCTAAACCCTAAACCCTAAACCCTAAACCCTAAGCTCTTGCGGTTGAAGCTCTGGCGTCGAGGGAGCCACCGGGCTGCTGGCGGCGCGCGCGCGTGGAATTCGGGCGCCGGGATTTGCGCGCGAGGGTTTAGGGTTTAGGGTTTAGGGTTTAGGGTTTAGGGTTTAGGGTTTGGCTCGCAGGTGGTTTGCTTTGCTGCGCAAACCCTAAGGACTAAATGCAAATTCGATATGCACCAGCTGCCGCCCGAGGCCCTGACGGCTTTGATCTACAAAGTTGCTGCAGCAATTAAGCAGCACCAAAGCAAGTAGGGTTTAGGGTTTAGGGTTTAGGGTTTAGGGTTTAGGCTTTAGGGTTTAGGGTTTGGGGATTAGGCCTGGGGGGGCGTTTCCCTGTCAGCAGGGGCTGCTAAGAGCCCCTACACCCTAAACCCTAAACCCTAAAGTGGGGTTGCGCCCGGCGCCCCTGCGCAGAGCTAAACCCTAAACCCTAAACCCTAAACCCTAAACCCTAAACCCTTTTTGCTGTTGTGAGCAGCAAAGCGGCTTTGACGCAGCTGAGTCTGGCTCTTGCTGCTGCTGCACTGCAGCACGGCAGCGAGTCCCCGCTGCTGCTGCTGCTGCGTGCATGCGGAATGGAGACGCTGCAGCAGCCCCAAGATGCTGCAGACACAAAGCTGCTGCTGCTGCTGCTCACTGTAGGCCATCCGCTGCTGCTGCTGCTGCTGCTGGTCTTGTGTTGCTGCTGCTGCTGCTGCTGGTCTTGTGTTGCTGCTGCTGCTGCTGCTGCTCTTGTGTTGTTGTTGCTGCTGCTGCTGCTGCTGGTCTTGTGTTGCTGCTGCTGCTGCTGCTCTTGTGTTGCTGCTGCTGCTGCTGATGCTGATGGTCTTGTGTTGCTGCTGCTGCTGCTCGCTTCTCCGGCCCTCCTGCTGTTGCTGCTAAGCATCTGCGGCGGATGCTGACGCAGCAGCAGCAGCAGCAGCAGCAGCAGCCGCTGCTGCTGCCGTTGCTGCTTTTGCTGCTGCTGGCGGCGCTACTGCTGCAGCTGCTGCTGTATGTTTCTCTGTTTCGCCCGCTGCTGCAGCTGCTGCAGTTGCTGCAGTTGCTGTTGCTGCTGCGTCGCCTTTGCGCTTGCTGCTGCAGCACCTGGGAATGGAGGCGCACAGCAGCAGCAGCAGCAGCAGCAGCAGCAGACGGGGCCTGGAGTCTTTGTGGCAAGCAGCACCTCAAGTGCGCAGCAGTTTGAATTCAAACAATTAAAAGAAAATAGTTTTAATTAAATTAAATTAATCTTCTCAAAAAGCAAATAAATAGTTTTGAATTAAATTTAATTTCTTTTCGCGAAGCCGCCGTGGCTTCAGGTGTACGTACACCTCGAGGTGTACGTACACCTCGAGCGCCGCGGCAGCAAGCAGCTCAAATTAATTCCATTTCTTTATTTATTTGTTTATTTTTGTTTATTTTTGTTAAGTTTTTGTTTATTATTTGTTTTTATTTGTTTTTATTTCTTTTTTTGGTCCATTTGATTCATTTTCCTTTTGCTGCTGGTTTGTGCGCTGCTGTACAGACACCCGGGTGTCTGTACAGCAGCGCATTTCGATTTGCTGCTGACGGACAAATGCAGTTTAATTAATTAATTAATTAATTAATTAATTAATTAATTAACTAATTAATTAATTAATTATTTTATTTACTTATTTATTTATTTATTTATTTTTTTCTGTTTGCTTCTTGCTGCTCTCCAGGTGCTGCAGTTTGTTTTGGAGGTTCGACGGACCGGACCCAAAGCCCTCAGCCTGAGCGTAAACCCTAAACCCTAAACCCTAAACCCTAAACCCTAAACCCTAAACCCTAAGGGTCGAGGTTCCGCAGTCCCTAGACCCCTAGTTCAAGTTCTGCTTCGACCCCAAGTGGCTCTGTGCTCTCCAGCAGCAGCAGCAGCCGCCGCTGCAGCAACAGCGGCGCCAGCAGCAGCAGCAGCAGCAGCAGCAGCAGTATCAGCTGCAGCAGCAGCAGCAGCAATTGTGTTGTTTGCTGCTTAGGCCCTCAAATGCACTCGGGCTTGGAGCCCTTTGCTGCAGCGCTCAGCTGTCGATACAGTGGAAGGCTCTTGCGACTTTGCTGTCATCTTGGAAGACTGCTTCCTGGTGCGCACTCCTGCTGCTGCTGCTGCTGCTGCTGCTGTTGCTGCTGTTGCTGTTGCTGCTGTTGCTGTTGCTGCTGCTGTGTTGAGGCGGTGATGGGAGTTTTGTTGTTGCTGCTGCTGCTCGCGTTCCTGCTGCTGCTGCTGCTGCTGTAGTTCTACTACGTTGTTCTCTTCTTTCGCGGTGGCGCTGCTGCTAAAGTTGCTGCTGCTGCTGCTGCTGCTGCTGCTGCTGCTGCAGGTGTTGGAGTCTGCTGCTTCGGACAATGACGAGACAGAAGCAGCAGCAGCTTGCATTAGTCATTTGCTGCGGGTGTGGAGCGGGTCCTCCTCCTCAGCAGCAGCAGCAGCAGCAGCAGATGGGCCCCGCAGTTTGCTGCAGATAGCTGTGCAGCACTCAATAGGCCCGCTGCAGCAGCTGCTGTCTGCTGCAGCAGTGACTTCGAACGGCGACACGGCAGCAGCAGCAGCAGCAGCAGCAGCAGACACCGAGACGCTGACTCACGTGGTTGCTGCTGTTGCTGCTACCTGCCGTGCTGCAGTGCCTTTGCTGCTGCAGCAAACGCACACTGATGGGGCCCTGCAGCAGCTGCTGGAGACGCTTGCTGCTGCAGTGGCTCTACCGCGCACTTTGGGGCTGCTGCAGCAGCAGCAGCATCACCCCCACCCGCAGCAGCAGCAGCAGCAGCAGCAGCACTACTCAGAAGCTGCAGCAGGAGACTATGAAGCAGCAGCACTTCTCTCTGCCAACGCTGTGCGTTTTTTCTGCGATTTGAGATACGACATAGAGGACGCGGAGCAGCAGCAGCTGCAGCAGCAGCAGCAGCTGCAGCAGCAGCAGCAGCAGCAGCAGCAGCAGGTCAACGCGCAGAGCAAACAGGCGCTGCTTCAGGTGTACAGACACCTCAGCGAAGAGGCGCTGCAGCAAATCGAAATTCCCTCCGCCCAAATTCCGCAGCAAATGCTGGAGGAGTTTTACAGGTAATATAAATAAATAAATAAATAAATAAATAAATAAATAAATAAATAAATAAATAAATAAATAAATAAATAAATAATAAATAAATAAAAAATAAATAAATAATGGCAAAGAGTTCAGGTCAAGTTAGAGGGCTGCAGCAGCAAGTGCCAAGAGCGCTTTTGCTGCGCCTCTGGGTGCTGCTGCTGCGCCTTTGCTGCTGCTGCTGCTGCTGTTGCTGCGCTTTTTGCAGCTGCTGCTGTTCATCTTGCTGCTGCTGCTGCTCAGTTTGCTGGTGCTGCAGCTCATCTTGCTGCTGCTGCTGCTGCTGCGCCTCTTGTCGCTGCTGCTGGGACTTGTGCTGCTGTCGCCGTGTCTGTCGTTACTCTGCCGGTGCTTCTGTGTTCATTGCTGCTGCTGCTGCTGCTGCTGCTGCTGCTGCTGCAGCTTTAGGGACCAGCTGCTGCTGCTGCTGGAGGACTGCGCTTCCTTAGTCGGTATCGAGTTGCCAATGCGGGTGCGTAATAGCAGCAGCAGCAGCAATGACGACACAGCAGCAGCAGCAGCAGCAGCAGCAACACATACAGACCAGCAGCAAAAGAGGCACAGCAGCAGCAGCAGCAACACAATACAGCAGCAACAGATGCAGCAGAAACACCCGTTGGAATGTACGTTTTCAAGATTTTTAGTTGCCCCATTTTCCCCCTCACCGCAAAATATTGCTGCTGCTGCTGCTGCTGCTGCTGCTGCTGCTGCTGCTGTGCAGGTGACGAGCCGCATGCAACAGCTGCTGCAGAGCCACCAGCTGCTGCAGCAGCAGCAGCAGCAACTCTCTGCTGCTGCTGCTGAGGACGTCTTCGAGCGGCCTCTGGAGTGTCTCTTTGTCGCGTTAGACTACACCTTTCCGTGTACGCCCGAGCTGCTGCTGCTGCTGCTGCTGCTGTGGCTGCTGCTGTGGCTGCTGCGGCTGCTGCTGCTGCAGCTGTTGCTGCTGCTGCTGTCCTTGTGGCTGTACAGACACCTCAGCAGGCAGCACAGCAGCAGCTGTGTTCGCCTCAGCTGTTGCTGCAGTGCAGGCGGTGCTGAAGCCTTCCTTGCCCCAGGTAGGCAGCAGCAGCAGCAGCAGCAGCAGCAGTAGCAGCAGCAGCAGCAGCAGCAGCATTAGCAGTAGCAGCAGCAGCAGCAGCGACAGCAACAGTAGCAGCAGCAGCAGCCACGGCAGCAGCAGCAGCAGCAGCAGCAGGAGCTGCTGCTGCTCCTGCTGTGGTTGCTGCAGCAGCAGCAGCAGGCGGTGGCGCTTTTGTGTTTTGTTTTTCTGTTTTTAATTTATTTTGTAATTAATTTATTTTGTTTTATTTTTCTTCTTTTGCTGCTGCAGACTGAAGCTGCTGTTTTTTGCAGAATTGCAGCTATAAGATTCTTGAGGAGGGCCCACACTTACATAGATGCAGAGTAACTTGCTGCTGCTGCTGCTGCTGCTGCTGCTGCTGCTGCTGCTGCTGCTGACGCTGTTGCCGCTCGTGCGGCTCTTGGAGAGCCGCAGCTATTGCTGCTGCAGGAGTTCCTGCTGCAGCAGCTGCTGCTTGTGCTGCTGCTGCTTGTAGCTCTTAGCTGCTGCTTCTGCTGCTCATGCTGCTGCTGCTGCTGCTGCTGTTATGTGCTGCAGTTCAGGGTCTCTGCAAGCTGCTGTCGGTTTGCTGGCTAGTCAACTGTCCCTTCCCGCAGCAGCAGCAGCAGCAGCAGCAGCAGCACGAGCAGCAGTGGAGCTGCTGCGGCACCGAGCAGCAGCAGCACTTGAAGATGTTTGCAG